AGGAAAGGGTATACAAGGAACCTAGGGGATAAAGGGAAAGAAGGAGCTCAAGAGAGGTAAGGCTATAGAGAAGGGTACTATTAAGGGAGAAAGGGGGGAAATGAGGGCACCTTAAGTGGGAAAAGAATGATAGAGGGGTGAGACAATGTGAGAGATAAATAATGCCTGCCTACTTTTGAAAACCAGAGGGAACCATATTACTCCTACAACCTGCTGACAAATTATACATAGCAGATCAAGAAATATATGTCTATGCAAGGTTTTTCTGAGAAAAACTGGTTTTTGCCCAAGATTTATCTACATGACCCACAGTAATTAAAAGTACCAGACTGGTGGAACTAACCTTCTTGGGTGTTTAACAGACATACTTTGAGGCCTATAATAATTTGGTCAGAGGGACATAAAAGACAGTTTTTGCTCCTTTCCCTCCTAGGTCAACTAGTTCCTAGGGCCTATGAGCATCTCTCAAAATGTCCTGTAATCGTGGTGGGTCACCTGTTCTCTTGATCAAGGAGGCTAAGGAGCCCCCACCAGATGGACTTGAACCACAGTCTAGTCTATAAAGAGGAGGGTCAACACAGAAGAATCATTTCCTCCACGCTTCCAAGTGAAGACAGCCATGGTCGAGTAGGACCTTTGACTTATCTTCTCCAGGCGGAACTGGTAAAAGAAAGGAGCCAGGGGCTCCTCCCAAACCCATGTGACCCCTGAGGAACAGATCCTCAAATGACCTTAAGAGTAAAAATAAATTGGTTTATCTGGGCCAACTGTATGGCCTTAAACACCCAAAAAGAAAGTATAACTAAAAATTAAATGGACCAATATAATTTCTTAAGAGTCCATATGCGCAGCTAAAGGCTACATAAAAAGCAACAATGCCAGACAGGCCATACCTTCTTTTGAGTTGTTGGCCAGGGTGGTCAAAGGACTCCTGGATAGTAACCCAGCATAGAACTAGGAAAATGAACAGCAGACCCCAATCTTATCTAAAGGAATATTGACAAGCGATTACTGCTAGATGAGTAACACCTGATCTTCCTAAAACAAAGACCTCTAAATAGGCTGACTAGATTCACCAGAAGGGCATGTAGTGGGGAAGGGCTGGGGGTGCCAACAACACAGCAGACAGCAGCAGGGATATCAGAGTATAAGGGCTTTAATGGGGGAGGAAGGCTGTGGGAGGGCACCATCTGGGAAGTGGGTGTATAGTCGAATCAGAAGGTTTGGGATGTTCTGTGATACACACACACACACACACACACACACACATAATATTAACAAATTTTTTTAACGTATTATATTTGAAGAGGAAGCTTGGAAATTTACGTCATGCTAATTAGTAGAGGTGGTAAACATTACCATCGAAATCTACCCAATGACTTAATAGATATACACAGGTGCCAAGGATCCAAGTGCAACCCATTATGTTTAGTAATAATCAGATACATACAGATGAGAGATGCATGCACCAACATCTCAGTGTTAGGGGCAAAAACAATGAGTCTTTCTGAAAATGAAATGGAGATCTTTTTCAAAGGTTAAAAAACTCATTCAATTTTATGTCTTACAGGGCTTATACTGAGTTCAATATTGTATAACTGTATTAACTCAACTGTGAACATAGAAACTTGCACCCACTTGTGAAAAAAGATGCACTCTTGCTCTTGAGTGTGTTACTGAATATGTTAAAGCTGTAGTGAAATGCTTCTTCTAATCATGTAGTTATTAAAATTTTAAAAAATAATGATTAAAAAAATAATTCTCCAAAGCATAAAACTTTGTTCCTTAATAATTATTAGACGTGAAAAACATTACCACTGAAATCTATCTGACTACTTTA